AAGGGACAAAAACTCACTGCTTAAATTATTATGTTTTAAAATATCTATGTTAAAATCACCTGCTACAAACAAAATATCCGCATTTAGCGTATTTAAAACTTCTTCCATTTTAGATATAAAATTTGATGAGCTACAAGGCGTGTGATACACACAAAGAACACATGCTTTAAAATTTTCTATTTTAAAATCTATGGCTGCACATTCAAAAAAGTAAGCTTCAGACATTTCTTCCACATCTTTCCGAGCAACACACTGTAACTGATCTTCAATGTAGATAGCTACACCACCATGACCTCCCACTTTTCGACAGAAACTTGACACTAATTTAAAATTTTGCATGTTATATTGCTGTAGTTGCATTTTTGATTGCCAATGCTCCGTTAGACATACTATTTTGCAGGTTTCTATACTCTCAACAAGTACTTGTAACTCATCAAAGGAATTTCCTATGGACTGGATGTTATGGTGAAGAATAGTAAACTTTACCCCTTCTTTATTATTTCTACCTCTGGAATTGCGTTTTTTTTCTTCTCTAAAAAAATGTTTTTTAACTGAAATTCTCTTAACAATACTCCACTTGGCCAGAAACTCTCATTAAACACAGACTCCACCGCTTCCATTGGCAGGCCAATGCTGAAGGCCGAGTTTTTTCCTTGGGTCTGGAGCTTTTTGACGTCTATATTTTCATTTCCTGGTACATCACTAAGGAATTTCTTTATATCATCTTCCTTGATATCCACTCCAGCTATTCTGCCAACATAAATCCATTTCCTACGTAGTGCCCCAGTAAAGGTTGATGCTTTTGTTGTGTTTCCTTTGGCAAAAATAACTTTCTTGTTCTTATTTTTGCTTTGTTGTGTTTTCCAACCATCATCGGTCTTTGAGGTTATGCTTTCATGCGAATGGGAAACTTCTTTATCGACCTTTGGTGCGTTTGAAATCACAGCTGGTGGTACTTTTGAACTACTGGCCACTTCATTATATTTTTCTTTCGGTTGCGGTGCAACACTGTTGGGGAATCCAGTGCTGCCAACCGCAGAAACTTTCTTAACCTCACTTTTCTTATTTTCCGATAAAAACTTGATTTTTTCCTCTAGAAGTACAATTTTGTCGTTTAAGAGTTCATTTGTACCTTGCATTTCCACAATAATCCTTGCTAACAACTGGTTTTCTTTGGTTAAAGATTTGATGTCGCACGCGGTTTCATCTTCTTCACCGTTACAACATCGTATTTGGTCGGAACCTACGACTTTCACCCCTTTTACTTTAAGAGAACATGCGGGGTGGAAATTTGCGTTACACACGATGCATTTCAAATCCCCTTTCACAGATCTAGCGCACACTTTACACAATTTTTCAAGAGCGTTCGGCGTAAGCAACGTATCGCCCGCCATCTTCTCAATGTCATAAGTGAAGTACGACGGTGGAAGGCCGTAGAGTGCAAAAATTTGTTGTTGTATTGTGCACCTTTTCTTCTTAAAGATCATTTAACATCTAATAGGTTTAATCATTTTATGAATCTACATGTAGCAATAACCATATTTTCTTCAAAAACTCATATTGAAAAATATTTTGAAGTTGCAAAAACTTGTATTTTGCATTTTGTCAACGAAAGCCCAAGTATATACGATAAATATTTTGTAGTTTATAATGTACATTCCCTAACACACCTTTGTGAGGACGTAAAAAAATTTGGAACATTGGAAGAATTTAGCTGCTTTGAGTATGAAAATCTCCTGGGTAAAATGAAGAAAATAATTCGAGGTACCCACCGGCCATTACAGCAACTTCATAATAGATTAGTTGAATTAAAAGATCATATAAGCCAAAAACAAAAAATTGGACTATTGCCTAGGGGCATAAATAAAGTTGAAGGAGATTACTACTTTCAATGCAATGATTTATTTTCTGATATGCATTACATCTCAATCAAGAAACCAAATAATTTTGTCATGATAAAAAACAATATTATTGTTATAAAATCTATTTATTTTTTAAATGGGGAATACAATCTCACAGGTACTACTTTCAGATATCATAGAAATCTTTACGATTTTCCAATAAAATCCAAAAAATTAAATATTTTTTTTGTCAAAAGTGAGATGGCCACAGTTCAAGTTTTTTTAAGAAAATCAATACAATGCAAATGTTTTGCACATAGGTACAAAGACGGTTACGCGGTATTTCCAATTTTACATACATACACTTAAATAAAATACAGGAGATATCTAGAATTGATTTGACAAAATGATATAATATATAATAAACTAGGTACTCGAGAAACATTATTTTAAAATTAAATTTAAATACGGGGTGTTTTGAGAGGACTGGTGACAATTAATAAATTAATGAATAAATTAATTAAGGTAGTAGTATAATTCGAATAATTTTTTTTTATATAAAATGTGTCCAATTTTTTAAATCTAAACACATACAACTTTGCCGTCCATACCATAAAAGTGGCTAACTACATTTAAGTTGAATCCGAGAAAATCGAGATTAACTATTTTAATTCATATTAAATTACACAGTCGTTGGGTACTTTATATTGATTTTATTATTATTTTTATTATTATAAACGATCGCGTATTTTCTAACATAAACAATACAGTAAAACCATGATATTACATATGTAGTATCATAAGTAAAACGCAGAATTTAACACGAATCCATTGATGTAAAAAAGTCGTTTTCGACAAAAATGTCAGTTAACCACTTTATGGTTTAAACAGCAGAACTGTTGGAATGTATACATTATAATACTAACAAATGCATAGAAAAATGATGAAGTTTTAAGTTAATTTTTACTATTTCTATAGAATTCCAAATCCACTTAAAACTTGATCATGATATACCATGGAATTCTCTCGACAACACTACGTGTGCATTGAAAGGTTCGGTGGTAGAAATATTGAAAATCAACTTTTAAATTAGTCTAAAAATTGGACACAATATTTAGCATTCCTCCTTAAACACCCTTTATTTTATTTTAGTTTTTTTTAAATATGTTTAAATTAAAAGGTATACTTTATAACCACTTTAAATAAATACTTATACGAATTTTTTGTTTGTTTGATAACACACTTGTTTATTGTATTTATATTCGAAATTTACCATATTGATTTGCATTTAGTTTAGTAATTATGTTTTTTTATTTAAATATAAAGCAAAATGTACAGCTGCGTAGAATTTGAAAAAAAAGAATGTGCCATTGTCCCTTTGATATGGCTAATAGGAAGCGATCCTCAACGGTGTTATTGGCCCAATTCATGCTTGGAATCCGCAGTATTAGAACAAAGGCCCCCTACAACTTCTTGGCCTACCTTTTTGGTCAAAAAACTTCATTTTACTTGTGGTAGGTATAATTGGTTTCAATTTTATTAAAATTAGCGTATTTTTATTTTTTTCCATTTTTAGAAATTTTAGCAGATGCTGAAATAAGATTGGAGGAGTTATTGGATAGAGAGACAACTGAGGATGAGGAAACTTTTGTTAAAAAAGCAACCAAAGATACTGACATTCTTAGTGTAGCATCTCCATTAAATGCGACGTCCCTTTTAAAGGCAAAGGTAAAATGAAGAAAATAATTCGAGGTACCCACCGGCCATTACAGCAACTTCATAATAGATTAGTTGAATTAAAAGATCATATAAGCCAAAAACAAAAAATTGGACTATTGCCTAGGGGCATAAATAAAGTTGAAGGAGATTACTACTTTCAATGCAATGATTTATTTTCTGATATGCATTACATCTCAATCAAGAAACCAAATAATTTTGTCATGATAAAAAACAATATTATTGTTATAAAATCTATTTATTTTTTAAATGGGGAATACAATCTCACAGGTACTACTTTCAGATATCATAGAAATCTTTACGATTTTCCAATAAAATCCAAAAAATTAAATATTTTTTTTGTCAAAAGTGAGATGGCCACAGTTCAAGTTTTTTTAAGAAAATCAATACAATGCAAATGTTTTGCACATAGGTACAAAGACGGTTACGCGGTATTTCCAATTTTACATACATACACTTAAATAAAATACAGGAGATATCTAGAATTGATTTGACAAAATGATATAATATATAATAAACTAGGTACTCGAGAAACATTATTTTAAAATTAAATTTAAATACGGGGTGTTTTGAGAGGACTGGTGACAATTAATAAATTAATGAATAAATTAATTAAGGTAGTAGTATAATTCGAATAATTTTTTTTTATATAAAATGTGTCCAATTTTTTAAATCTAAACACATACAACTTTGCCGTCCATACCATAAAAGTGGCTAACTACATTTAAGTTGAATCCGAGAAAATCGAGATTAACTATTTTAATTCATATTAAATTACACAGTCGTTGGGTACTTTATATTGATTTTATTATTATTTTTATTATTATAAACGATCGCGTATTTTCTAACATAAACAATACAGTAAAACCATGATATTACATATGTAGTATCATAAGTAAAACGCAGAATTTAACACGAATCCATTGATGTAAAAAAGTCGTTTTCGACAAAAATGTCAGTTAACCACTTTATGGTTTAAACAGCAGAACTGTTGGAATGTATACATTATAATACTAACAAATGCATAGAAAAATGATGAAGTTTTAAGTTAATTTTTACTATTTCTATAGAATTCCAAATCCACTTAAAACTTGATCATGATATACCATGGAATTCTCTCGACAACACTACGTGTGCATTGAAAGGTTCGGTGGTAGAAATATTGAAAATCAACTTTTAAATTAGTCTAAAAATTGGACACAATATTTAGCATTCCTCCTTAAACACCCTTTATTTTATTTTAGTTTTTTTTAAATATGTTTAAATTAAAAGGTATACTTTATAACCACTTTAAATAAATACTTATACGAATTTTTTGTTTGTTTGATAACACACTTGTTTATTGTATTTATATTCGAAATTTACCATATTGATTTGCATTTAGTTTAGTAATTATGTTTTTTTATTTAAATATAAAGCAAAATGTACAGCTGCGTAGAATTTGAAAAAAAAGAATGTGCCATTGTCCCTTTGATATGGCTAATAGGAAGCGATCCTCAACGGTGTTATTGGCCCAATTCATGCTTGGAATCCGCAGTATTAGAACAAAGGCCCCCTACAACTTCTTGGCCTACCTTTTTGGTCAAAAAACTTCATTTTACTTGTGGTAGGTATAATTGGTTTCAATTTTATTAAAATTAGCGTATTTTTATTTTTTTCCATTTTTAGAAATTTTAGCAGATGCTGAAATAAGATTGGAGGAGTTATTGGATAGAGAGACAACTGAGGATGAGGAAACTTTTGTTAAAAAAGCAACCAAAGATACTGACATTCTTAGTGTAGCATCTCCATTAAATGCGACGTCCCTTTTAAAGGCAACGTCTTCTTTAAGTGATACCTCAACAACAACTATCAGCAGCAATTTCGAGCAGCGTGTAACATCTCCTTTAAGTGCAACCTCAACAACCATCAACAACAATTTCGAGCAGCGTGTACTGATGATTCTTCAAAATGTGTCTGAACAAATTACTCAAAATACCATAAGAACACAGCAGATATTAAGATTAATGTCAGAAAATGAAACTAATTCTATAGTGAACCCAACAATTTTCCTACTTTGCCTATGGAAAAATATAAACATTTTAAAAAGTTTGAAAAACTTATAAAAGAAGATGAGGCGGCATTAAGTTACCTAGTGAGTATTTTAAAAATGCTATTTTTAGTCTTTGTTTTTTGAAAACTTACAAAATAAATTAAAATATTTTTTCTTTTATATCTTTCAGAAGCACAGGTTGAGCACCTTAGGAGGTGCACATGTTCGACAAGTAACTACAAACATGCTAAAACATTTAATGTCAAATAAATTAGGAACAAAATTTAATTGGGCAGGACAGAATGGCAAAAAAGCTTTTAAAAACACTCAATGCTTAAAATGATACAAGGTATATTTTTGTTTTATTTTTTCCTTTTATTATCTTTTTAAAATAATCTTTACCTACTTTAATTTTACTCTAAATAAATAAATAATTTGCGGTGTTCATTTCCTTAAATTACGAAAAACCACCTGAACTTAACTTACAAAACATTACAAAGGCTATTCAAGATTGGCTAAGACTTGCACCCCAAAGATTTTCCTATCAAGAAAATAAAAATTTAAACGTTGAAGTAAATATGTAAGTTTTAATTTATTGAAATCAAGTCACTGACTTTCTTGTAAAAGTTTGAATACTTAGATTGAAAATGTTTGTTGTGGATCTTTTATATTAGTTTATTATAAATGAATCTCTTTTTTTTTTAAATATGTGATATGTTATGTTTAAGTTTTATATTTACAATAATTATAATTATTGATCTCTTTTATTTTTACAAATAATACATATGAAGCATTCCACGCCAGTTGGACCAGCGCTGCAGCGTCCGACCTGGCCACCTCATAATATTTTATATGGTAGTTCCCTATCTCAAAACACCATAGTCATCTAAAAAACGCCACATTTTTTTATAATTTAAAGTTGCCAAAAATACATTTTTTTTTTACTCGCAAATTTTCAGAATCCATAGCTTTTTTGGAGTAAAAATAGGGAAAATATACTATTTTCATTCAATTTTTTTTTGTATTATAAAATTATATATATTTTTTTCATTTTAAAATTTTTTATTAGTTATTTTTTTTTAACTTATACAGGTTGTCATAAAATAAGTTGTTGTCCTTTGGGGGAGGGGATAGTTCACGCTAAAATAAGTAAGTTTTTTCTTTATACTTTTGCATTGGTGCCAATTTAAATAAAAAAAAATTTGCCCAATCTGTTGGGTCGCCTCTGATTCTGTTTGAATCATGACCTACCCGAAACATACCTAAAATTATCATTGGTACACAAAGGGTTAATCAGTGAGACAGTTCATTCATACAAAGTTAAGATTTTTTTATCAAATATGAAATGACTAACTGCTTTAACCACCCAATAAACAAAATTTGTTGTTTATTTGGTGCCTTAAGCGTTCGAGTGGGTCAGGGTCAAACGGAATAAAGGGTGGTAAAAGCAAATGGTGCAAATTTTCATTTTTTTTATAAAAAAAATTATCACTCATATAAAGGTGAAAGAGAAAAAACTTGCTTACTTTGTCATGAACTTCATCATAAATATTTTGTAGTTTATAAAGTACATTCCCTAACACACCTTTGTGAGGACGTACAAAAATTTGGAACCTTAGAAGAATTTAGCTGTTTTTAGTATGAAAATCTCGTAGGTAAAATAAAGAAAATAATGCGTGGTGCCCACCGCCCATTACAGCAACCTTCATAATAGATTAGTTAAATTAAAAGATCATACCTACCTATAAGCCACCTAAAAAGCTAAAGGTATGGACAAAATGTATTCTCCATTTTAATTTTTTTGAGTTCAGTCTCTAATGTAGAACCTGAATTGAATAAGCCAGTTTAAAAAAAAATATATTTGTGCTTTTTAAGATCGGAAACTATTATATAAAATATTATGGAGTGATTATGAGAAGTCGTCAGGATCAAATAAGCGTGGAATGTCCCATATGAAGGTTATGTTATATTTTGATTTTTTAATTATTATTTTTACGAATAGTACATAATATAATGTATGTTATGTATCTTGGTAACAAATAAATAAATGTTTATTTTTTAATTTGTATTTTCTTTTAAAATTCCTGTTGTCAATTAGACATCTAAAAGTGATTTTAAAAACATGTTTAAATTAGACATCTATCTTTAAACTGATGTTTTTCGTTAAATAGACATAGAAAATAGACATCTAAAGCCAGTCAAAAAATTAAGTAAAAATTTACCTAAAAACTATTTAATAAATAGATATTATAAAATGATTACTTTTAGATGTCGAAAATACACATATAAATCTAGTAAGAAAATTTAGTAAAAATTTACCGTAAAAATATTTAATAAATAGATAGTATAAAATAATTACTATTAGACGAAGAAAATAGACATCTATAGCCAGTCAAAAAATTTAGTAAAAATTTATCTGAAAATTACTTAATAAATAGTTATCATAAAATGATTACTTTTAGATGTCGAAAATACACACATAAATCTAGTCAAAAAATTTAATAAAAACTTACGAAATAAATATTTATTAAATAGATATATTTCCTAGATACTTAAAAGCTCAAATTAATAGACGTCTAAAAGTTATATCTTTCTGATTGGCTTAAGATATCCAATCTAAAGCCTGCTTATAAAAATATTACTTTTAGACGTTCAAAAACACGCAGTTTTTAGACATCTAGCAAATATTAGAATAGACGTTAATCTCGCGGACATTTAGATGTCAAAAATACGTCACGCGTCAAACCGATTATGACCATCCTTAGACCATCTTCTTTACATCTTTTAAATGTTTTTTAGATGTTTTTGTGTTGTTCGGGTATCTAATTTCAATTTGTTTGAATTTTTATTAAAAAAATAGGTAGTTTGGAATGTTTACGCTGTGTTTAACATTTAATTTCACTGAAAACTTAAAGCAAATTAAAACATAAAGATAATTTAAATCGTAGAAAAAGAAAACACAACTGTGAAATCCACAGAAACGTCAAATTGCAATGTCCTAACCTCACTTATTCTTTTATTATTCATATTTAATTTTACAATAATTTAATGAAAAATAATAAACATTAACAGTAAAACAAACAAATTAGTGCTTATTATAAATAAATTAAACCAGTTTAGTACGTTAATTTCTTAGAAAAGGATTAATTTGTCAAAACAATACCCCTAGCGAGAAAAAATCGAACTAATTACTTGCCTCATAAAAAATTTTATCGGCCTAGGCCATAACAAGTTATTTCTTTATCGAATGTTGACAACAATAAAGTTTAAATTATAGACCGCGTGGAGATAAATATTTTTTATGTATGCTTTTAAAATAGTTATTTATTTATAACAAACATAGAACTGCTATTAAAATAGTAATTTATTTAAAACAAACATAGAACTGTTATTAAAATTAAAAATACAACGGTAAGCTACATCAAAGTTTTTAGTTTTCGGGGCGCATTAACATCTTGTTTTCTAGCAGCTATTATTTTCCAGTTTCTTGGAATTAGATAACAATGACGCTAGTTATATTTGCAAGTGTGCTTATTACAAATGCAAGTATCTTAAAACTGTTTTTATAAAAAAATATTGTAGGTAATTTATTATAAAGTATTTTGTCATCAAAATTGTTTAATATATTCTTCTTTTATTAGGATATACATTAAATAAAAGAAACATAAGCAATATAGCAATTAGTAGACATAATTTTAATAATTTACTGTTGGGGACGGGACAAGGGAATTTTTTTTCTGCTGAATAAAAAAAGGGCAGAAAGTGTTTTTTGCCCAGAGAGGCAAAAAACTTCGGGCCGGCTCTGACAATCGATAATTCATATGAAACTGTCTTGCATTACCGCGATAATAAAGGGTCATCCATTTCGTGCTTGAGAAAGTACACGCTGTACATACGAAAACTACCAACTGCGCATGTGCGTAAAACAGATATTTGTGTAGTTGAATAGTTGCCATTTTATAATATGGATCATTTAACCATCGCTCAGCGCTTAAAAATTGTTAAATTGTTCTACCAAAATGGTAATTCTGCCGTGGCCACATATCGTGCTTTACGACCAGATTATGGTCGGCATAATCGCCCTTCCCAACAAACGATTTTAAACATTGTAAATAAATTTGAACGGAATGGTTCGGTGACAGATATTATAAGACCAGTGCACCATCGGAATACACGTTCTCTTGAAAACATCGCTGCGGTTAGTGCAAGTGTGACTGAAAACCCAAGATTATCAATTACACGGCGCGCTCAGCAATTGGGTTTATCCTACGGGTCGGTATGGCGTATTTTGCATTTGGATTTGCATTTTCATCCGTACAAAGTCCAGCTCACACAAGAACTAAAGCCTACAGACCATGGACAGCGTCGAACATACGCCAATTGGGTACTGGAACAACAAGCACTAAATGAAGACTTTTCAAAGAAAATTTTCTTCAGCGATGAGGCCCATTTCTTGCTCGGTGGATACGTAAATAAACAAAACTGCCGTATCTGGGGCTCCGAAAATCCACAGGCAATTGTTGAAGTGCCGTTACATCCACAAAAAGTGACTGTCTGGTGTGCATTATGGTGTGGTGGTGTCATTGGACCATATTTTTTCGAAGATGATCAAGGAAGAACCGTTACCGTCAATTCCGAACGATATGGCCGTATGTTAACCGATTTTTTTTGGCATGAAATTGAAGATATGGACCTGGCCAATACGTGGTTCCAACAAGACGGGGCCACATGTCACACAACACGAAATAATCGGGCTTTGTTGCAAGATAAGTTTCCAGGACGAGTAATTTCGAGATTGGGTGATGTGAATTGGCCACCAAGATCTTGTGATCTAACGCCATTGGACTTTTTTTTGTGGGGCTATGCAAAAGATCGTGTTTATGCCAACAACCCTCTAACAATTGACGTGTTGAAAGATAATATCCGTCAAGTAATGGCCGAGATATTGCCTGAAATGTGCCAAAAAGTAATAGAAAATTACCTCAAAAGAATTGAGTCCTGCAGGAGATCCCGTGGAGGACATTTAAATGATATTTTGTTTCACAATTAATGCCATTAACCAGACTTTATAATGAAATAAAATTTTTATCGCAATCTAAATCTTTACTGTGTTTTTTGTTAATTTACTTTCTCAAGCTGAACTTGGATAACCCTTTATATTTATTTTCCTGTTGCCTCTTAGAAACGCAACATTTTCTTGGTATTTTTTATTTATTTATAATGTTATAAAAGCAGCACACTAATGCAATATTTAATTCAACGTTAAATCGAACGATATCAATAGTAAAGCAATAGATAATTTATTTAAAACTGTCTTGTATTACCGCGATTATAAAATTATTACATTAATTTGCTATTGCAGTCGGCCTCCTGACGTCACGCCTCCCACTACCACACTCCCGCCTGGTATAGAGAACACCGTGTTTTTGCTCATATTTTTGATAAAAGTTTTTATTTTTAATTAACGTCTTTTGATGCTATATTAAGTAATTTTAAAAACTGTGTCTAAAAAGTAAGGTTGGTCATAAACTGGGTTTTTTTGCAGTAAAAAAAATAGGGGGATCGCCGCATATTATATTATAATAATATTAAGGTAGTTGTCGAGTGAAATGCGCTTTCGACAGAATTGGCAAAATTTTTGATAAATTATTCAAAGACTTAATCTTAACTTATTTTAAAATTATTTAACGTTTAGTTTTGATAAAATTGGCTCTTAACTATACTATTAACATTACATGACATTGTAACGTTAATCGTATAATTTTTACAGCGATTTTTACAAAAACTAAACGGTAAATAATTTCAGTTTTCAAAACATATGTTTTGATAGATATAACATTATTTGCATTGGCCTAGTTTTATAGCCAAATTGCTCTACGCGTGTGGTGTGATGAGATTACTACTTTTGTATATACCTGAGGTATAAATAAAAGTATACTTATATAACATACAAATTTTACATTTTTAAATTTATTTAAAAAACGCGGATAAAAAAGTAGGCCAATGTCAAATGATGTTATATTTATATTTTGAAATAAAAAATATATGTTGACCGTTTAGTTATTGTAATGTTGATATTGGTACCTAAAAATCCTATAATAGCACAACTACCTTTACCCTAGTCTTTCATGCGGGCGACATTTTCACACTTGTGCAAAAAAATCCTGATTTGCGCAACTGATGCAAAACAAATCACTTATGTCTAGCCATAGCACAGCAAATATTGAGCCCAACCAATCAGGACGGGCCGACCGAATGACAGAACGTTTAACCGCGTAAATACCAAAGGCTTGAACACAATGGTATGGCGCACCGCGGCGTTCAACGGCGTCAAATGTCAAACCAAAGTTGAAACACACAATGCACGGCGTTGAACGCCGTGCGACGCTGACAGTTGGTTGTCATCTGTTTTGTGAGCTGTGATATTTGTTCTGTGCATTTGTTCTTCGGTTTGGATTCGAGATGGATATCAGAAAAGTTTTGCAATTTATTAATACAATAGAAGCACCGGCGATGGAAGATTTTGATGAACACCTTGTTCATTTAATAAAAACTAACGAAATTTTATATAACAAAAGGTGTAATGGCTATAAAAATATAACCTTAAAAACCAAAAAGTGGCAAGAGATAGCGGAAATTTTAAACTCCACAAGTAAGTAGACTGGTGTGAAAAAAAAGTACTAACATTATTTCCTGCATTCTAGGTGAAGAATGCATAAGAAGGTGAAAATCTTTAAGGGATCGCTTTACAAGGGAGCTTAAAAAATAAAATTTGCCTTTTTGTAGTGGGGCAAAGAACTACCTAACATGGACCTTTTTTAAAAATGTCTGCGTGACCATGTAGGCCCCCGAAGGTAAGCCTGGTTTATTTTGTTTAATTTGTGAAAACAATTTTCTTTCTAGTACATCTGGCAACATGAGCTACCAGGTCATTTCTGAAAGGCCAGTAGAAGAATCTACTGAAAAAGAAACAATAGGAGAGGAAACAGGGCAACTTCCTGAATTTGAAGATCCACCTGCATCACCGTCTTATAGTTCGTCCAGATTGTCCACCCCATGTACAAAAAAGAAAAAAAACTAGGCTGGAGGAGGTACATCGAGCTTTCCCCGAAAAGGTTGCTACTTTTCAAGATTTCGTAAGATCCAAAATTACCCCTCCTAAAGTCAAAACACCTGGGGAGCGATTTAGCCAAACAGTGGCAAATATGTTTGATTCCCTCAATGAAAGGCACCAGCAAGAGGCAAAAGTTGAAATTATTAAATACTTGGTGTCGCTACAAGAACAAGAACTGGAAGAAGAATTGTAAATTGTATGTTTTTTATGAAATGTATCTATACCCCACATCCAAAGTCTATTATGTCCACTTTTTTTAAATCACTTAAATTTTTTGCCTACATTTTTCTGTTCTTTCCAATGTTAAACAGGATTAAATGCTCGCTTATTAGTTTTTTGATATTAAAAACTAAGTAACCATTGGAAAGAGCATAAAAATGTAGTCAAAAAATGTGTAAAGTGATTTTAGAAAAGTAGACTTAATACAGTTTGTCTCTGGGTCACAGATATATATTTTTATTTCATATTAAAAAATGCCAAAAAATCTTATTATTATTTATTCAATGTAAATTTTCTTTTATTCCCTTATAACCTTTTATACTTAGTAAATGCTAGGTAATTAATTACATTACAAATAAAAGTTTGAAATAATAAATTCATCATGGTAAGGAAACTTTATTAAAAAATACAGCATTTTTTAATCATAAAACTTAAAACTAGTGCTAGTCAGCTTAAAATCTGTTATATTGAAACGAAACTGCACCTTCGGCCAAGAAATAATCAGCAAGAGTTTCTCTTAATTCAAATGCACTGCGTGCTGCATTATTGGATCCAAATCGTGCCTGACGAAGTGGACCTGTCTCTTTTTGCCATTCTCCCAAGTGAATGTTACCATCAGCATCTTCACAATCAATGTAGTTTGGTGGTGTGTAAGTTTGGCTCTGAGAATTCAACATTGTAAAATTATGCAATGCAATGCAGGCCAACGTGATTTTTTCAGCATTGTTTGGAAAGCACTTTATTGATGTTTTCAAAATTCTCCATCTTGCTACAAGAATTCCAAAGCTGTTTTCAATTATGCGACGTGCTCTTGACAACCGATAATTAAAAATACGTTTCTTTTCATTCAAAAGATGAACTGGAAATGGTCGCATTATGTGTTGTTTTAATGGGAATGCAGCATCACCAACAAAGTAAAATGGAAACTTTTCCTGGACCCAGGTAATTCTCTATCTCTTGGCAAAGGTAACTTTCCAGTTAATAATGCCTTGCCTACTTGAGAATTGTTTAATATTCCTACAATAGAAACAGTGTTAAAACAAAACATATTGTTCCAAAGCTGGATGCACAAACCTCCATCACTTTGGCTCCCATATGCGCCTACATCTACATGTGTAAAACAATATTTTGGATCACAAATTGCCATAAGAACTATATTAAATGTTTTTTATAGTTAAAGAACATTGAACCGCTATTTTTAGGACATTCAATCTCTATGTGCTTTCCATCAATAGCACCAACACAATTGGGCATATTCCATTTCTCCCAAAAATCATGAGATATTTTCTCAGAATCTCCGTTATTTGGAGGACTAACATAAATTGGTGACAAAACTTCCCAAATTGCCTCACAGAAGAAGTAATGCAGAGGTATTATATAAACATTTAAAAAGATTTGAATTCATAATTGTTTTAGCTGTGGAGTGTAAAGTGTTGGAGATGACAAATTTAGTATTAAAACAATTACAGTTAAATAATGTTAACTTATTATATGCCACAGAGCTATTATAAATAGCACTAAAAAATGTTAAAGAATTAAGGAACAGTTTTGAAAGCGTTGTTAAAGAAGCTGAAGTATTAGGTGAAAGCTGGGGAATAGACGCTGAGTTTCAAAAAAAGAGACCTAAACAAACAAAATCTTTTTTCGATGAATTATCAATACATGAAACAATCATTGATGCGAAACATTCATATGAAGTAAACGTTTTCAACTCTCATCTAGATATCATTATTGGAAAATTAAACTCTGGATTTGAAGGAGTGAGAGCAATAAGCCACCGATCTCGCTGCCTTTTTTCAGTAAATCTTAAAGATATGAAAGATGATGCGCTGTTTACAGCACCACAAGAGTTTTTATGCTGAAGAACTATCAAGTGATTTTATACATCAACTTTTATCGCTCCGAAACTTAATTTAAAAAAATATACCAGATAATATGTCTATTAATGCTTTTTAAATACCTAATGGAAAATCATTTATCTTTTTTAAGTAATATTCCGGATGTTATATTAGCTATAAAACTGTACATGACATTACCTGTTACGGTAGCCTCAGCAGAACGATCTTTTTCAACTAAAATTAATTAAAAATTATTTACGCAGCACTATGACGAAAATGCGATTATCAGCTTTAGCTATGTTATCCATAGAATCTAAAAGAGCTAAAAAATAACGTTCAGTACGATTCCAGAATAAAATGCAAACTTAAATATTTTATAATTACTTTAATGCTTGTTTGTGTGAAAAACTACGTTTTTTAAATCAACGTAAATCTGTTTTTGTTTTAAATAACATTTTGGTTTTATCCTGTATAAAGTTTCGCAACCCTTGAAAGGGTGAAAATTAGTTTGCTTAAAGGGTTTTAATTGTTTACGTTTAAGCAAATCATTTAAACGTCGATCTTATGATTAAAGTAGGTCAACAACGTCCTTTGTGTTACAGATCTTCGTTAGCCCCTTTTTATATTGATAAATTAAAAATGGGCGCACCATTTAGATTTTCGCGGGGGGGGGGCTGAATTCTCAGGTACGCCACTGGTGGTGCTTGACACAAATTATAAAAAGGGCTTTATATACTTATTTTGTGGTGGTTAGTTGTTCTTTTTTTATATTATTTGGTCCAGTTTGGAGGAACAAGAATGTATTGTCCTAGGTTAAATTAATTCGTTTTGGCGAAATTTTCTTTATTATAACCTTAAAGTTTACTATAAAATTTGGTTTTCAGTAAAAACTTTTTACACAAAACATACCTTTTATTAGTAAAATATTTAGTCTGAAACTATTTTATGGGGCATTATGTCTTCGAAATGTATTAAAAGCAAAAGTAAATGACAATTATTAAGAATTTTAAATAAAAATGTCCATAATAGATACGCGTATGTGAAAATGAAGCTTCTATTTCTCGGTCAATACTTATTTCTTGTGATGATAATAAAGCACAAACACAGTCTAATATTTTTAATAATAGCTCAGAAGTATCAGAGGGTTACAGTGGTTTACATGTTTCTAATGAAAAGTCTAATAGTGAATGTGCAGGTAATAATATAAAAGATACTTACTACCTACTGCAAATGAAATCTATAGTGATGAACATGTGAGTGATATAAAGGAAACTGGCAGTAGTCCTAGTGGTGATAAACATGTGGAGCATAATGTCTCTCCTCGTAATAAAATCCAGTAGTTTTTTGGTACAATGGTCATTAGAAAATAATATAAGTCATGTGGCACTTTCTCAACTTCTTGCATGGTTTTCGACTAGTCCAAATATATCTCTATATATCTATATATATTCTTGGGCCCTCATTAAAACTCCTAAAAATTGTATTTTACAGCAAATGAAAAACGGTTATTATTTTGGATTAAGAAATGGATTAGAAAAGGTGTATAATAAATATGGAGGTTTAAATAAACCAATGTATATATCCCTTAATTTTGACGGACTAACAATTTATAAAAGTAGTAAAAAAACTTTTAGGCCTATATTGTGCTGGATTACTAATTATCCCCTAAGTGTTTCATTTCCAATTGCTATTTATTATGGTCCAGGAAAACCACCAAATGAATATTTTCGTGATTTCATAAATAAATTTAAAGAATACCTTGGTGGAATTTTAATTAATCAATAGTTGATTAAACTTAAAATGTCATCTTTTTTTGTGATACTCCAGCAAGAGCATTTGTAAAAAATACTGTGTCTCACAACTCTTATAATGGGTGTGATAAGTGTTGTGTTAGAGGTGTAAATGTTAACAAAAGAAAAACTTTAATCAAAATGCAGATCTTAGAAACGATGACAGTTTTTTATTGCAAACACACTTAGACCATCAAAGGTGTAACTCCTCTACTTGAACTAAATATAAATATCAGGTTTTCCTGGAGAATACATGCATTCTAAATGTCTAGGAGTAATGCGTAAACTTCTATTTATATCGAGGGATGGTAGTTAATTATTTCGTTTCACATCAGAGAACTTAAAAATACTCAAAGATAGAATAAAAGAAATTAAAAAAAACATACTGACCAGTAGAATTCAACAGAAAACCAAGGCATCTGACTGAACTTGAACATTACTCTATCTTGCCCCTATTTTATTGAGAGATTGGCTTCCCAAAAATGTATAAGGTAACGGTACTAGGTATTGACAGTGTTCCAGTAATTGACACGTTCAAACTTTTCTTTAAAAAATAAGGTCATTTGCCTAAATAAAGCCAATATTTATAAAATCTATGTAGTAATAGGATGTTTGGCAACCTTGAAGAGAATTTAAAAGAAATCAGCTGATTTAATGTTTGGTTAGAAAATGGCGGAAGTTACAAGTGTTTGTTTTTGAAATCAAGCTTAAGAAAACTGTTAAGGTAAGTGGGCAAAAAATTATTTATTTAGTTTAGTTAAAATTTAATTGGGTTACTTTTAGTTGCATGTAGATGTGTATTAAGGATAATAAATTCGTATTTTTGAGTATTTCCTGTAGATAGGTACTCTAACCGCACTTTTTGTAGGATGTCAATAACTGGTTTATTAGCAAATTTTGAGTTAACAGTAGTTAACTGTTTTAAACGGTTATATTTAAACTTCCATTTAAATCCGAATTTAAACAAAGGCTTGGTTTCAGTCATTGACAGGGGTGTCAATTATTGATACATCAGATGCCAATAACTAGGGCATTTTTTTCAGATATGGCCCCAAAAAAGAATTACATCAAAGACCCACTAAATGTAGCCCTTGATGCTATAGCAAAAGGAATGCCTGTT